AAGGAGATAGATGTGTAAAGGTATCTTTTCTAATGTAGACTGGTAAGTGATTCCTTCTGGGGAGTTCAGAACCACCTCCTGCTCAGATAAGGTGGAGGACAGCCAGGACTGGCTCTTTATTTGGGGAAAGGAGGAAGCCGTTTCCAGGAAACTGATCAGAGGGGGCCCCCTTGCTGGGTGACCCTGGGCCAGTCACATGCTCTCATCCTAACCTACCTCACAGGATTGTTGTGAGGTTCACATGGAGGGAGGAAGAGCAATGTTCATAAGCTGCTTCGGACTCCCCACTGGGGGACAAATATCAACATTTATAAATGCCTTGCACCTCATCGCCAGTATAGCCGGCATGCTCAGAGCTAGAAATCAGCAAAGTGATGTGAGTTCGCGAAGGCCAGGGCTGAGCTCTGGAGAGCCGGTGCCAGAGCCCTGCACCGAGAGAGAGTGCATCTCCTCTCTCCTCTCGCAATCCCTGCAATTTCCAGCTGCATTCGGCCAAGCGCGAGATCCCTGCTGAGAGACTGCAGTGCTGCAGACAGGAGGGTCTGCCCTGTTCCTCGGAGGGCGGGGGAAGTAGGGGGGGGGGCGTTGCTCCTAAGGGGAACCAGGAAGGAATATAAGAAATGGGAATTAGTGAGGGATGAAATAAATGCACTTCTGGAAAACAGAAAAACGTAGGAACGGCAAACCGACGGCACCGTTCCACAAACAGGCGAGGAAAGCATTCCTTCCAAGGAATGAAAAGTCAGGAATTGGCAAGCAGGGCTTTCGGACCAGGTGTGCAAACTTAAACTCCAGAGCCACATCCCTGGATCAAACCTTCTGCTCCGCCATCTGGCCCGCCGGGTCCTTTGGAGGAAGCAGGATTCAGGCAACCCACTTCCCTGTCCACATGTCCTTCCCAGAGACCCTTAGGGAAGGAGGGAAGGAAGCATTCAGCCCTTTCACCTCCTTCCCTCAGTTGGCTCGAAGGAAAGCTTGCTCTCTGGGGCACATTCTCCCCAGCCGTGTCTCTTCCTTGGCTTTATGGTGACCAAACAAATCCCACACAGATTTAACCCCCCCTTATCTTCTGAGACCTGGATCATCCTTGTTTCCTCTCCTCTGTCTTGGCATTGGTCTACCGACAATGCCACCCCTTGACTATGCTTCGTACCCTTGTCCTTTTGCCCAGGGTTGCCTCTGGACATCTCACTATGCAGGGTCCGGCCCACTGGCACCCCTCTTTGGTTACCTCTCGAGTGATGTGGATCCCATCACCCATGGAGGACGGGAGGAAAGCTTCAATACACAGGGCAGGCACTTAGACCCGATTCCTGCCAAACGAGTACGTGTCATGGTTACCACGGGCAGCGTTCCCTCTAAGCTGAGTTAGTGTGAGCCAGCTCACAGTTTTTTTTAGCCTCCAGCTCACACATTTTTTGTCTCACCTCAGGAAAGATGGCTCCAGAGCAAACTAATTGATGCAGAGGCCGAATCGCTCGCTCACCACTTTAAGGCTTGTAGCTCACAAAGTAGAATTTTTGCTCACAAGACTCCACAGCGTAGAGGGAGCATTGACCACAGGATAAGGCTAGGTCACGGGGAATGAAAGCAAGTTTCACATTGTTTGGACCACCGATGAAACTTGACCACAGAAGCTAGGCAATACCACGAGGCCTGCTCCAACCAATTAACATTGGCCGCCTTCCCTGTCAGGGTATTTCTTCCTTTGGTTCCTTCCTTTGCCCAGAACATAGCGGAAGAGGAAGCCTCAGCTGACGCCCCACTCAAGCGGCTAAATCCTCACATGTCACCTCGTTCAAGTGGCTGAATCCTCCCCCAATACCTGGTTCAAATGGTGAAACCCTAGCCTGACATCCTGTTCAAATGGCTGAATTCTTGCTTGATACCCCGTTCCAGCTTGATACCCCATGCCCTGTTCGAGAGGCATTCAAGTAAACAAACCCTCACCCAACCCCTGTTCAAACAGCCAAATCCTCATGCAACACCCCATTCAAGGGGCCGAATCCTCTCTCGACACCCTGTCCAAACAGCCAAATCCTCACCCAACACCCCATTCAAGGGGCCGAATTCTCGCTCGACGCCCTGTCCAAACAGCCAAATCCTCACCCAACACCCCATTCAAGGGGCCGAATTCTCGCTCGACACCCTGTCCAAACAGCCAAATCCTCACCCAACACCCCATTCAAGGGGCTGAATCCTCGCTCGACACCCTGTCCAAACAGCCAAATCCTCACCCAACACCCCATTCAAGGGGCCGAATTCTCGCTCGACACCCTGTCCAAACAGCCAAATCCTCACCCAACACCCCATTCAAGGGGCCGAATCCTCGCTCGACACCCTGTCCAAACAGCCAAATCCTCACCCAACACCCCATTCAAGGGGCCGAATCCTCGCTCGACACCCTGTCCAAACAGCCAAATCCTCACCCAACACCCCATTCAAGGGGCTGAATCCTCGCTCGACACCCTGTCCAAACAGCCAAATCCTCACCCAACACCCCATTCAAGGGGCCGAATTCTCGCTCGACACCCTGTCCAAACAGCCAAATCCTCACCCAACACCCCATTCAAGGGGCTGAATCCTCGCTCGACACCCTGTCCAAACAGCCAAATCCTCACCCAACACCCCATTCAAGGGGCCGAATCCTCGCTCGACACCCTGTCCAAACAGCCAAATCCTCACCCAACACCCCATTCAAGGGGCCAACTTCTCGCTCGACACGCCATTCCGGTGGCCGAATCCTCACCAGACGCTTCCTCAAGCCCCAGACAAGATGTGAGTTGTTTAGAAATACTTATGTCTGACCTTTCTGTCCTTTTAGGGTTTTGGCCTTTGGCTTCTCAGGCTGGCTCTGAAAGAGTGAAATTTCTATTCCTCAGGGACACGCCACTCGAGGAGGGTGTGTGTTTAGAAAACATTCCTGTCACAAATGTTTCTCTACCCTTCCATCTTCTTTTTGGTTTTGGCCAGACAATTCCCTCCCTCTTAGGCCACCAAGTGATATTTAGCGTTACTCCATGCTGCTGCCCAGAATGAACCCATCTGTTGACTTGTGGCTAAACAGATATTTGGACAGACTTTGCAAAATGTCAAGCGTGGCACGACTAAAGATAATGAGCATCCGTCTAGGCCAGTATCACTGTTTCTACTCTCTGTATGCCCAGTGCCCATTTTGAAATACATCCCTGAAACAGCTTTCAATCAAGCCACATAAGGCCTGGGGAATTCTTCCACGAAAGAAGCTTCTGCTCGGAGGAAATCTCTCCACAGTTGTTTCAAAGAACACATTTCCAACGCAGACAATGCCTCTGAGCAAGAAGACATTTTTCTTTCTTTTGTTCTGCACAAGAAACCTCCCAGGCAAATTCATTGCAGTCTGCACCAGAAAGCTAACAGAATTGGCTACAGGAACAGAGAAAGTGGGGAACTGAGGGGAGGGGATTGGGGTGGTTTCATTTGACAGAGTCCTCGGTTGAATTCCTGTGGATTTTCAGTGCAGGGGGGAAAAGAGGGCTCTGCTAAATGGCAATGGCAGTTAAGGGGGTCTGCTAGGTGTCTCCTTGCAGTGTTAGCTTTCCGCATGCAGGGAGGCCGAGAAGAATGGCACAGCTCCAAGAAACGACAGCTGAACTCAGGGAGCAGGATATGGACCCAAGATCATGGGGGGAAGGCAAAGCGAGGAAATCATTTGCTCCAAACCACATGGCTTTACCCTGTACTACCCAAGCCCAGCCCCCAAGCAAATGCCCTGTGGCACTGTTGCCCCTCACCATCCCAGCAACTTGCAATCTCTTTGGACAGTGACAACAGGCCAAATTCAGGATCACCTAAGGGAAGCTGATGAATAGATGATTTGGGGCAAAGAGAAGAAAGACCTTCACACAGCATGTGGAACTCACGGCCACCAGGAGTGATGAGGCCGCCTATCCAGGCGGCTTTAAAAAGCAATTGGACACACTCACGAATGGGTCTCCTTGGAGATTATGATCCACGATGGCTTAATGAAACCTCCAAGTAGACCTCTGCATGCTATAGGTCAGAGGGATCCAATTGTGGGGGTAGGTTTCGGTCTCTGGGGAGTCATTTGAGGCAATTGGTTGGCCACTGTGGGGAAACAGAATGTAGGACGAGATGGAACTTCGAGTCTGATCCCATGGGGTTCAACCTTAGCTGTTGTATGATCTCTGTCTCTGAGATATTACGGATGGGAAGGACCAGGGAATTAAAGGGCATTTTCCAAAAAGCAGAGGAACAGGAAAAGTAATTTCTGGTGGATACCTGATGATTTCTCCACAATTATCCCAGCTCTCGGCAGAAGAGGATTTCTGCCGAAAAGCAATAAAAAGAGCTGAGACATTAGCATATCAGCCAAGGATCACTCAGCGCAGAGCTGGCGCTGCCGGGAAATGAATTTGACTTGTCGGCTTATCTTTCATATTGGATAGAGGAGGAAAACAGCTGGATCCGCTTGTGTGGGGGGCGTACGGCCCACTTGAACCCCCCTGAGGAGCAGACTGGCCCGGCCAGGCCTGGCTCTGCTTTGGAGCTGATGCTCCGTAGAAAATAGCTAGTTGGCAACGATCTCAGGGACAAAGATCTCTCAGGGGAAGGTCATTGCTATGGCAGCTGCTGGTCGGTAGCTCCCGATGACGGTGCAGCACCGTCCTGGGGTGCTTATGGACCCGTTTGAACAGCTGTGCAGGGATAAGCAGAACCAACAGGGGCTGAAACACCACCTGATCCGAGACTGGACCACACACTGGTCCCTCATGGAAACAACTCGAGAAGGATATCTGCAAAAGACGGGTGGATAGCCAGAGACTGTTGGACATACGACTGAAAGCCTGCCCCGAATTTCCCAGAACAAACGGCCAATATCACCCCAATCCGCCTGCATCTAGGCCAGGAGTAACAGGGGATATCGAGACACTCGAAAAGAAAGACCCGCCCGTGACCCAACACAACGGGGGAGATGAAAAGGCGGGGAGAAGACTTACTTGGCACCCTGTTAATGGCTCGCAAAGGCCTGAGTACCCGGACGGTACGGATGGCGGATAAGCTGACGTTGTGGCCGTCCAAAGAATATTCCATCATGCTGAGGAGAGAGAGAAAGAGAGAGAGAAAGGAGGTGAGAACGAAGACGCCAGACTACTGCTGATCTTTTGTTATCTGAGGAAGGGAGCTTTTTTTAAAAAAAAGATTTTTATTGATTTTCTACAGAAGAAAAAGAACAGACAAACAAGCAAGTCAATCTACAAGACTAACTAACATGAAACAAACAGGAGCTTGTACCCCCTGTAACTAATTTGTTCTACATACATAGAATCATTCTTATATGCACCCTCACATGTAAAATAGTATATAAGCCAATGGATATTTTGATACTTATAGCATAAAGTATAACATTATTGTGAGCATCTTTGCAAATACGTCTCACTCCATTTATATAATCTTGACCGTGTTTTTTCAAACACTTCTTTTTTTATCTTGCAATTGCAGTGTTAGCTTGTCCATCTCTGCCGTCTCAAATAGTTTATAGATAATTTCTTCTTCTGATGGTACTTCTTCTTTTCGCCAATATTTTGCGTAAAAAATCCTTGCAGCAGTTATAACACGTATAAATATATATACATCTGTTTTTTAAAATATTTCTGGAATAATATTTAATAAAAACAATTCTGGTAAAAACGGTACAGTTGTTTCCAATATAGGGAGCTTTGATTCATGAAAGATTGCGCCCCGAATATCTTGCTGACCTCTAAGGTGCTACGGGACTGGTATCTAGAATCTGACCAAAGGGGCTTCTGACTCTCATATCCCGAATATCTCGTTGGGTCTCGGAGGCAGTACTGGATTCGAATCTAGTAACTGATGATGGGAGGTTTCACCCTCCAAAGGTCATATCTTGAAAATCTTGTTCTCTAAGGCGTTACCGGACTCAAATTTAGTATCTGATGAAGGGAGTTTTGACCCTCAAAAAACTCATGCCTCCAACATCTTATTGGACTTGAATCCATCTGATCTTTGGGGAGTGGAAAAGGGGGGGGTCTTAAGAGGCCAGCTGACATACTAAGAGGTCTTTTCCAAGCTCAGTACATTAAAAAAGCACATCTAGGCCCCTGCCACACGGCAGAAAAAAACACGGCCAAAGTGCGGCTTTTTAGGAGCCGCACCAAAAGAGACACGCGGCGGCGGGATCACACAGATCCCCTGAGCCGCTGTGCAGTTGCTCCCCGGCACAATCAGATGCCGGGGAGGAAGCCACCGACGGGAGACCGAGGCAGCCGGCTGCGCATACTTGCGCATGCGCAACTCGGCCAGGAGCCTCGAATGCTCCCGACGACAGATGCACCGGCGATCCCACAGCCGCGCTCGCTGCGGTGTTTCAGGTAAGTCCTACTCTTTACTTGGTTCCCCCCCCCCCGCAGCACTGGGCTGTAGGGACAGATCGGGGACAGGTGCGCGCCGATTCCCAGATGTTGCGGTGAGATCGCGCCCGTTTGCTGCGCCCCCAATCTGTCCCTCTTCCGGCCCAAAACCTCCCGTGTGACCGGGGCCCTAATTGAGTTAAAGTTCGCCACACTGAGCCAAACTGTTCCATTCCCCCCGGATTGAGCTGTCTGTTGCTTTCCAAAGCCCACTCATGGTTAGCTGCTGTAAATTTTCCGGGCTGTGTGGCCGTGGTCTTGGCATTGTAGATCCTGACGTTTCACCAGTAACTGTGACTGGCATCCTCAGAGGTATAACGCAGAAAGATGGAGTACTCTCTGTGTCAAGGTGAGAAGAAAAATGGTAGGCAGGTAATTTATATCTACTCCAGAAGGATATACTCCAGATATAAATTGCCTGCCTACCCTTTTTCTTCTCCTCACCTTGACACAGAGAGTATTCCATCTGAGGATACCAGTCACAGCTGCTGGCAAAACGTCAGGTCCTACAGTGCCAAGACCACGGCCAGACAGCCCGGAAAATCTACAGCAACTAATGAACTCCAGCCGTGAAAGCCTTCGACTACTCATGGTTACTTGTAAAAAAATATTAACTAATTAAAAAACAAAGCAAAGCCGACTTTTCCAGAAGTAAGGGGCCAGCCAGTTTTTCGCTCTGCAAGGTGAGAAAAGTGGGGCATGCTCGTAAGATCCCAAATCGTATGCTGAAGATACCGGCTCGAGCTGCTCCCATGGCGCCCCTGTGTCCCATCGCTGACTGCTCTAGGTGCCTAAGCCTTCGTGTATTCTGCAGATACTTTATTTACTTATTAACTTCATTTATACCCCACTATTCTCCCCAATGGGAACCCAAAGCCGCTTACATCATTCTGCTCTCCTCCATTTTGAGAGCCAGTTTGGTGTAGCGGTTAAGAGCGGCGGACTCTAATCTGGGAGAACCGGGTTTGATTCCCCGTTCCTCCTCCACGTGCAGCCAGTTTCTCTCAGAGCTCTCTCAGCCCCACCAACCTCACAGGGTGTCTGTTGTGGGGAGGGGAAGGGAAAGGAGATTGTAAGCCACTCTGAGACACCCAAGTGAAGGGTGGGGTCTAAATCCAATCTCTTCTAAATAATGAAAGGAATCGAGGAAATCAAAGTGATTAAATTTAATGAAATGGAGCATAAATTTCTTACTAAATGGTATAAAACACCAGCACAAATAGCAAACATGTTCCCAGGTATGAGTCCTAGATGCTGGCATTGTAAACAATCGAAGGGATGGTATTCCCATATGTGGTGGGAATGCCCAGAGGTCAGTGTTTTCTGGACAAAGATACTACAAATTATAAAAAAGACATGTAAAGTATCATTGCCCATCAACTTTAATTTAATGCCAATGGGTATAGTAGGAAACCCAGCAATTAGCAAAGAGAACCAAGCTATGTTTAAAGCCATGATACTAGCAAGTAAAGCAGTAATAGCTCTAGGCTGGAAGAACAAAAATAAATGGACAGTAGAAATCTGGCATAATTATTTGTTTGATCTCATACAGTCCGACATAATCGAAAAGTTGGAACGAAAGGCCACATGGGAAGATAAGACTACGGGAATCAGGACGAAGTAGAAGACCTACCTGGAATGGATACCAACAGAAGGAAGAGGAGACATTCAGAGCAAGATTCGGACTTTGTGCCCGTGGCTGGGAATATAGGACTAAAATAACTGGAATAGCAATGGGGGGTGAGGGTCAAAAACTACTACGAAATGTATGATTAAAAGATAATATGTAAAATGTGTGAAAAATAATTATATATATATATATATATATATATAAAATCCAATCTCTTCTTCTTCTCTTCTTATCCTCACAGCAACCCTGTGAGGTAGGTTAGGCTGAGGGCGGGGGACTGGCTGAAGGTCCCATGATCCTTTGTGACTGAATAAACTGGTTTCTGTATGTGCTACTACTGAGATTGGGTCCCACTGTAGCCTACCGGTTTTGAAAAAGATTTATTCGAAACGTGGCAGTTTGCATCCAGACTACGCGTCTCTATGGCTTATGGATTTCAAGATTGTATGGATTTTCCAGGAACTATATGAGTCCACTCTATGATGAATGTATGTCAAGTTGGACAATGGAATTACAATACAACAGGAGTGAGACACATTGAAATTCTGGGGAGTTTATTTCTCTGCACTACTGTTGCTTCTTGTAGAATACCTTGGCTTTATACTGTTATATGGTGGTTGTGTTATTGAACTCGGCATAAAAATATTATTTTTATACCTTTTTTGTTTGTTTGTTCACCTTTTGTGACTTCGGCCAGCAGGTTTTTGTGTGTTTTGTACCCCTTCACGCACGCTGGTTCCCCTCCTTTCCCCCCTCTCATTTACATGCATATCGAACATGTATTTTGTTATCTCTGTCCACTTCAGGGGGAAGAGGATGATGGGAATGTATACCAAAGTGTGCGCTCCGGACTGGAAATGTAGGTCCCAGGGGAGCTAATGAAGCGCTTAGCCAATGGGCATTTATGCAAACACTGGGGTTAATCCCGCCCTGTCCATGTTCGGCTTCCAGTGGTTTTGAAACCATCAGAACTGGAGTACCTCAGGAGCTGCAGTCCTACAAAACGTCAGCCAGATCTGCAGAGCCAAGAAATGCAAGCAGTTTCTACCTGCCTGTTGTAGCGAATGGCCCGCAGCCAAGCGCCAGGTACGTCTGCTGACCCGCCTTTCCAGGAATAATGACAGCCCACTGTCTAGAGCGAAAGCACGGATACTGCAAGATCCTTAAGGGGCTGGCTGGCTGCCTGCCGGCCTGATTTTTCTGGAAGCGAAATAGCCTCTACCATAAACGAATGCCGTTATTTGCGTTTTTTAATGGATGTGAAACAGGAAGCGGCCGCAAAGCTTTTAAGCTGTGACACAAAGTACACAAGCTGGCCAGGATATTTCTCCCTTGGGGACGCAGAATTCTGTACCTTAAGGCAGTGGTGACCAATGTTCCCTCTAAGCTGTGGAGTCCTGTGAGCAAAAATCCTACTTGGTGAGCTGCTGACATTAAAGTTGTGAGCGAGCGATTGGGCTACTGCATAAATGAGTTTGCTGCGAAGCCATCCCTTCCTGAGCGAAGGCAAAAACGTGTGAGCCGGAGGCTAAAAAACAGTGAGCTGGCTCACACTGGCTCAGCTTAGAGGGAACACTGGTGGTGACGCCTCTGGCAGCAATTGGCTGAATTTCTCTGATGTTACAGAGGGACAAAGGGAGACAGCAAGGCCTAAGGAAGGCGGCGCCAGAGCCCGTGGATAACCCGTGTAGGGCAGAAGGGTTAGGGTGTAGGCAGCTGCTTTTGAATCCCCACTCTGCTGCACAGGCTTGCTGGGTGACCATAAGCCTGTAACAATCTCCCCGCCTAACCTCCCTCACAGGGTTGTTGTGAAGATAAAATGGAGCGGGGGAGATGCGGGAGGAAGGGAGAGGTCTAAAAGGGAAAGCAATCAGGAAAATCCACATGGAAAGCTTACAGTCAGGACACAGGAATGCACCAGGATTCAAAGGTACACTGCCTCTGAACGTGGAGGTTCCATTTTGCGCCATAATGGTTAATAGCTCTTGACAGACCTCTCCAGGGGTTCCCAGAGGTTGGCCATTCTGAGGAGCAAGACACCGGCCTAGCTGAATCTTCTAAAATCTGGTCTTACATGGGACCAATGCTCCCTCTAAGCTGTGGAGTCCTGTGAGCAAAAATTCTCCTTTGTGAGCGACCGGCATTGAAGTTGTGAGCGAGCGGTTTGGCTGCTGCATAAATTAGTTTGCTCTGGAGCCCCATCCTCCCTGACCGAAGACAAAAAATGTGTGAGCCGGAGGCTAACCTCTTACAGTTCCGCAGGCCCACGAAAGCGGAGCTCTTCCGTCCGGCATTTGGGTAAAGAGCTGCGCCCCATCGTCTTTGCCCTGTGGCAACTTTGTTCCAGCCTGAGCCCGTCAACAGCGGAGGTACTGCTGCATGTGCACTTTATTACAGTTGTGACACCATCATCACATTCATCGTTTTCATAACTTTATTGTGTATTTTATATTGTGGTTCTATTTGTTGTTATTCTTTGTAAGCCGCCCTGAGCCTGCCTCGGGGGGGTAGGGCGGGGTAAAAAATAAAATAAAATAAATAAATAAATAACAAAAAATGGTGAGCTAGCTCACACTGACTCAGCTTAGAGGGAGCACTGCTTGGGGGATTCTCGAATGGCATTAATCAGATGTCAGGAGGGTGCTCTCAACCCCCTCCTGACTACGCAGGAGTCTATCCCATCTGCTCCCGGAGGGGGGGGGGTGAAGGACCCCGGCCCTTCCCGGGAGGTCCGGGAGTGTTGGCCCCTAGACCCAAACGAGGAGACAATGCAGCCAAGGGGGGAGGCAGCGGAAGCGGCAGCCACTGGGCTAGCCGACAAAGGCTTGATAGGTGGAAAGCTGGGTGGCAGGTCTGGATTCCCCGGCAGGTTGATAGGAAACCCCGGTTGGTGGCTAGGCTGCTTTAAGGATTGGGTGGTGGGCGGTCCAGGTGGGTCGGCAGAAGTAAATAAAGAGCCAACAGGTGTACCCGATGAGGAGGAGGATGTAGCGGGTACGAGGAGGACTGAGAGGAGTGAGGTAACTCGAGCTCGTCCGTCGGCTCCTCATCGCTGAAAGAGAGTGCGGCCAACTCTCAAACGGCAACTCTGAGGCGAATTAGAGGGAGCACTGCTTGGGGGATTCTCGAATGGCATTAATCAGATGTCAGGAGGGTGCTCTCAACCCCCTCCTGACTACGCAGGAGTCTATCCCATCTGCTCCCGGAGGGGGGGGGGTGAAGGACCCCGGCCCTTCCCGGGAGGTCCGGGAGTGTTGGCCCCTAGACCCAAACGAGGAGACAATGCAGCCAAGGGGGGAGGCAGCGGAAGCGGCAGCCACTGGGCTAGCCGACAAAGGCTTGATAGGTGGAAAGCTGGGTGGCAGGTCTGGATTCCCCGGCAGGTTGATAGGAAACCCCGGTTGGTGGCTAGGCTGCTTTAAGGATTGGGTGGTGGGCGGTCCAGGTGGGTCGGCAGAAGTAAATAAAGAGCCAACAGGTGTACCCGATGAGGAGGAGGATGTAGCGGGTACGAGGAGGACTGAGAGGAGTGAGGTAACTCGAGCTCGTCCGTCGGCTCCTCATCGCTGAAAGAGAGTGCGGCCAACTCTCAAACGGCAACTCTGAGGCGAACCTGAGGCTAGGAAACTTCTGACGGTACACCCTGGAGCTAGCGCACGATCCAACCTTCCCTCCCCGGCAGTCCCCAGTTGACACCAGATTTCCACCTGACAAGGAATCTCTTTCTGAAACACAAAATACTAACCTGACGTGACGCAGACGGGACTTGGGACCGATCCCCCATTGTCTCTCTCTGCGCACGCACATGCTTTTCACCGATGGGAACGTCAGAGTGAAGAGAAAGTTATCAGGAGATTCTCACATGGGCACTTAGCAAGCCACTCTCCCGAGGCGCCGGGCAAAGAGAAGCAGAGTCCAGTTCCGCTCCAATTGCAGGCTCACGTTTTGGTATCTCTGTTTGCATCAGAGTTGCCCTGGTTACTGCAGCCTTAACTCGATAGCACAGAGCCATTAGCTTAATTAACTCCCTCAGGGGAGGGGGGGAATGGGTCCCACACTTTCCTATCCGAGGCCCCCAAAATAGCTCCATTATCAAAGGCTTGCACTGGATTTCTGATGCCGGCAAGCAGGCGAACTTACTCGCTCTCATCTGTACTGAGCAGCCTGTTGAAACTGCAATACTTGGTCACACAGCTTGAGGCAGCCGGCTCAGGCACTGAGACCGAGGCCTTCCTCTGATGAGAACCTCAGAAGAGCCCTGTTGGATTAGACCAGGGAAGGTCCATCGGGTCCAGCATCCCAACCAGTTCCTCTGGAGGTCCAACAACAGGACATAGAGGCTGAGGCCCTTCCCCTGAGAAGAACATTAGCCCTGCTGGATCAGACCAGTGAAGTTCCTCATCCTCTTCTCACACAGTGGCCAACCAGTCCCACTAGAAGGCCGACAAGAGGGCAGAGAGGCCGAGGCCTTCTCCTGAGAAGAACCTTAGAAGAGCCCTGCTAGATCAGACCAGTGAGGGTCCATCTAGTCCAGCATCCCATCTCACAGAATGGCCATCCAGTTCCTCTAGAGGGCCAACAACAGGGCACAGAGGCCAAGGCCTTCCCCTGAGAAGAACATCAGAAGAGCCCTGCTGGATCAGACCAATGAAGGTCCATCTAGTCCAGCATCCTGTTTCGCACAGTGGCCAACCAGTTCCTCTGGAGGGTCAACAACAGGGCGGAGAGGCCGAGGCCTTCCTCTGGTTAGGACATCAGAAAAGCACTGCTGGATCAGACCAGTTAAGGTCTATCTAGTCCAGCATCCTGTCTCACACAGTGGCCAACCAGTCCCTTTGGAAGGTCAGCAACAAGGCAGAAAGGCCAAAGCCTTCCTCTGATCAGGACATCCGAAGAACCCTGCTGGATCAGACCAGTGAGGGTCCATCTAGTCCAGCATCCCGTCTCACACAGTGACCAACCAGGTCCTGTGGACAACAGGCCAGAGGGGGCGAGGCCTTCCTCAATGTTGCCTCCTGGCTGTGGGATTCAGAGGCCTAGTGCCTCTGAATGTGGACGTTCCCTTTAGTCACCATGGCTAGAAGCCACTGATAGGCCTGCTCTTCAGGGACAAAAGTCACCTGTGATAGGGTTGTAATCATGAACAGAATTCAGCCAGAGTGGGAGAGAAGCTGGCTGGAAAAGTTGGTTGGATAAGTTGTAACAACTACTGAATATGTGCAAACCAGTCACTTGGCCAGAGGAACTCCTGACAGGTCATCTCCTCTGGTCTGATTCAGTAGGTCATGGAGGAAGCAATCCCTTTTCACTGAGTGGTACTCCAAGCTGCCTACCAACAAAGGGGTCAGATGTTGGTGGTCCCTAGCTAACCTCGGCTCTCAAGGGGCCGACTTGCCCTGTCCCATTTTATCTTCCAGAGGTGGCTTTCTTTTGTGGGCAAAACCATTTACCGCCTTCTACACTGCATCCACACATCATTGGCTATTGCACAATTGTGTGCAATAGCAATAATGTACAACTGGATTGAGGGCTGCCGTGGCTCAAGTGTTTAAGACACTGAACTGCAGACCGGAAGGTGGGTAGTTCGGCAGTGCCGCAAGATGGAGTGAGCTCCCGTCTCTGGCCCCAGCTCCTGCCAACCTAGCAGTTCGAAAGCAAGGAATTTCAAGTAGATAAATAGGAACCGCTTCGGTGGGAAGGTAACAGTGTTCCGTGCACCTTGGCATCTAGTCATGCCGGCCACATGACCACGGAAATGTCTTTGGACAGCACTGGCTCTTCAGCTTGGAAACGGAGATGAGCACTGCCCCCTAGAGTCGGATTCGACTGGCTTTTGAGCAAGGGAAACCTTTACCTTTACTTTTACTTACAACTGGATTAGCCCATGCAGACAAACCCAATGACTGCTCTGGCACAACTCTCGGGCAATACTAAAAATGTGCGGGCACAACCTTAGATCATTTTACAAGGATTTTATTGGACACCTCTCCTTCCTGCTTCCAGACGGAATTCTTGCCAGTTTGGTGTAGTGGTGAGGAGTACAGACTCTAATCTGGGAGAACTGGGGTCGATCCCCTACTCCTCCACATGCAGCCATCTAGGTGACCTTGGGTCAGTCATAAGTTCTCTCAGGGCCGTTCTCTCAGAGCTCTCTCAGCCCCACCTACTTCACAGGGTGCCTGTTGTGGGGAGGGGAAGGGAAAGAAGTTTGTAAGCAGCTCTGAGACTCCGAGTGAAGGGCAGGGTATAAATCCTGTCTCTTCTCTTCTTCTTCTTGAACAAAACAAGAATGGCTGGTGAGCTTGTAAAGCACCCATCCGCACATCTATATAAATCACAGACTCTTTGAGCATGCCCAATCGATGTAAGAGAACTTAAGTCTACTGACCCAGCAATTACGATGAAGAAGTCCAGGCGGTTCCACGTGTCCCCCAGGTAGCACTTCTGTCCGAAGATTCCCAGCGCAATCATCTTGACGACCATCTCCACGGCAAAGAAGGCAAAGATGAAATGGTCGAATGCCTGCGTGACAAAAGAGTAGAGCACTTAGCGCCACACAGAACGGAACTTCTCACGCTTGGCGTTCGAAGGAGCCCCTCCCCGCATCTGATCGAGGTAGGGCAGAGGAGCACAGACCCCCCCCTTCCTTGGAGGAGAGGAGACGATTGCTAGAGGTGTTTCAGAAGGCAACCGTTTTGGTCTGTGGTAGATTTCAAAGGGCGTTTTCACACACGCTGAATGATGCACTTCCGATCCACTTCCAATGCACTTTGCAAGTGGATTTTACTGTGTGAGATGGCGGGTTCCACTCGCAAGCAGCCACTGAACTGGCTTGAAACTACATTATTCTACTTTGTGAGCCACTGGCATGAATGTTGTGAGCAACTGATTTGGCTGCTGCATAAATCAGTTTGCTCTGGAGCCCTCCTTCCTGAGCGGAGACAAAAATGTGTGAGCCGGAGGCTAAAAACCAGTGAGCTAGCTCACACGAACTCAGCTTAGAGGGAACCCTGGTTACAAGCAATATTCACTCTAAGCTGTGGAGTCTTGTGAGCAAAAATTCTACTTTGTGAGCTACCAGCATTAAAGTTGTGAGCGAGCGATTTGGCTCCTGCATAAATGAGTTTGCTCTGGAGCCCTCCTTCCTGAGCGGAGACAAAAATGTGTGAGCCGGAGGCTAAAAACCAGTGAGCTAGCTCACACGAACTCAGCTTAGAGGGAACCCTGGTTACAAGCATCCTTTACGACACCCATCCTACCTTCTGACTAGAATAAAAGGACACAGTGACATCCATTTTTACTCTACTCGCACCTGATGAAGGGAGCTTTGACTCTCGAAACCTTATCTCCTGAAACTCTCGTTGGTCTGGTGCTCTTGGAATCAAATCTAACTACTGCTACAGCTGGAACACTATTGCACACAAATTCAGGATCTGAGAACCTTTCAAATGCTTTTCTTCCATTGCACATTTTGAAATCTAGCAGGTTGGATCTCACCGATCATATCCCTGGAAGCAAGAGCATGGCTCTATGCCTTCAAACGGAGACTAAAAATGTTCCGTGCTGAAGATGCCTCTGAAACGGGATACTCACAAATCGATTTGGATGAAAGCCCTGGATGAGAAACTGACGTTAGTTGGAACGTCGGCTAATCGTATTTCAGATAACGGGCAAATCCAAAACGTTTTCTTCAACCAAAAGCGTGTCGTAGGAACTGATAACAGCAATTTGATCTTAAAAGCTCACCAAGTTTGCGCACCCGTGTCTTTTTCCCCAAAACTCCCCCCCATATGTACTATCTTACTATCCCACAAACTGCAGAACTTTCTTATTCGCAAGATTGACTATTACACCCTCAATGGTTCTAAAAGGGAGGCTTCTGAATAGGCCTTATACCGACCGAATTGGCCCTTGCGGCCTTAATAGGATTGACACATCTTTTCATGTTTTGTTTGAATGCAAGTTTTTTTTGAGAATATAAAGGATCATTATATTAAGCCTATAATTGATCAATCGTCCCCTTACACCCTGGGAAAAAATCCGGCTCCTTCGCTTAGTGATACGGATCCTAAGATCACTCCAGCAATAGCAAAATTCCTTTCAGTCCTTTTAGCACTCGAATCCAAAAAAATGAAGAATGAGAATCTTTTGCTGCTCAAGATTTGTTAATCAATGAGCTTCTCGAAGAATAAAAGGGAAAGGAAAGGATCTCGCTGATCCTTCCCACGAATGTTGGATATTTTCTCCGGCACCTGGGCTGCGGGCAGCTTCCCGGAGGAGGGCAGGCCATCACAATCGATTGTGCAAAACGCTATTAACGGTTCTCCATCACCAGGGCACTTGCAACTATCCGGGCTCGGCCCAGATGGAAGCACCCCCCCCCCATGCGGAATGGACCTGCGAGATCTGACCCAGGGGTTGGAAAAATTTTGATTTTATTTATTAGATTTTTATCCCACCCTCCCAGCCGAAACCAGCTCAGGGCAGCTTACATAAACACCTAAAATTTTTACAATACACATAAAATAGATTAGTAACAACCAGGGGTCATTTCCTGCAGGAGCGCACAGGAGCGGAGCTCCGTCAGTAAAGAGCCCGGGGGGCGGGCACATGCAACAAGCCCCACCCCCTGCTCCCAGCAGCCCCGGGCCATGAGGAACACGAGGATCTGCACGTCCCCCTCCCCCATAACTAGCAATCCAAGACAGTCCAGTGGAGCCTGAGCGGTGGGTGTTGCCTTCTGACACACTTCCGGTGATGTCAGGGGGTGTGGCATATGCAAATAAGTTATGCTAATGGGTTATGCTAATGAGCTCCTGCACCGCTTTTTCTATGAAATGACCCCTGGTAACAACATATAACAATTAAACAATGCTAAAACCATACATATAACAGTGCTAGTATCAATAATTTCACAGCAGTAGTTGCTACGCAGTTCGCAGTCAGGCCTCTAGTCTTCTCAGGTCGTCTTAGGCGGCTGGCTCAGGCTATATTTAAAAATCCTGGGGGGGACACCCATCCAAGCTGTCAGTTGTTAGTGGCAGCGGCGGCTCCAAAAACCTGGTGGAAGAGCTCTGTCTTGCAGGCCCTGCAGAACTGCAAAAGGTCCCCAAGGGCCCTGATCTTTTCTGGGAGCTCATTAAACCAGAGTGGAGCCACCATCGAGAAAGCCCTGCCCCTGGTTGTTACTAGCCTGGCCTCCTTGAGACTCAAAAGGGTCAGCCCTGAACCCCTGATTGCAGCGCTCTCTGGGATATATGTGGGGAAAGGTATGTAGGTCCCTGGCCATAAATGAATCCGGTATGCTATAGGCAGCCAGTGCAATGCCTTTAGCACAGGCTAGACGTGCTCCCAACTAGGGAGTCCCATCAAAAGCCTGGCCGCGTTATTTTGCACCAGTTGCAGCTTCCAGATTTGAGACAAGGGCAGACCCACGTAGAGAGCATTACAGTAGTCCAATCTTGAGGTGACCATCCCATGGATCACTGTTGCCAAGTCGTTGCGTTGGAGGAAGGGAACCAACTGCCCGATCAGCCGAAGATGGGAAGAGGCCGATTTTAAAACGTGTTTTCTTTGATTTGGGGGTGGGGAAGACGACTAAAAGAAATCCTCCGTACAGTTACAAATATTGTGGTAAGAGACATCGATGCAAGAGAAAAATAATCATCGAGGAAAACAATCCCAGTATCTTAAGTTAAACGAATGCAATCAGTGTGTTTTTTTTTACCATCAAGGGAACTCAGAACCAAGAAGCAATTGATGTAATTCTGAGAGAACAACATTAGAGGTGAGCTGAAACCACTTACCTTGTTTTTAGGTTGTTTCCAGGAATCTTTTTTTTTTGGGGGGAAGCACCTTGAATTTCTGGTGCTTCTTAGCACTTGCGAAGACATTCCAATCCTCCAGTGCTGTTCTTTGGGGTACCGTTTCCCTCCTCCTTTGCCAATAGAATCACAAGACACATCCCCTCACATTGCAGTTGCGTGCTGTGGCCCTTGTTGGTCTGGAGGGGCCGTGGCTCAGCAGCAGAGCATCCCCTTGGCAGGCAGAAGGTCCCAGGTTCAACCCCCGCTGGTAGCTCCAGTTTAAGAGACCTGATCATGGGTGATTTGAAAGACCTTGACCCAAGACACTGGAGAGCCACTGCCAGTCGGAAGGGACAAGAGGGACCTTTGGAGGAGTGGCGGCTCAGTGGAAGAACCTCTGCTCAGCATGCGGAAGGTCCCAGGTCCAACTCCCAGCATCTCCAGCTGAAAGGATCAGGGGTCAGGTGATGTGAAAGGCCTCTGTGTGATGTGAAAGACCTCCTGGAGAGCCATTGCCAGTCTGAGTAGACAGTACTGACCTTGATGGACTGGTGGTCTGATTCAGTATAAGCGGGTCTTCATGTAGGGAGAAGTTGTGGCTCCATGATAGAGCCTCTGCTTGGCACGCAGAAGGTCCCAGGTTCAATCCCCGGCAGCATCTCCAGTTAAAAAGGACCAGGCAGGAGGTGATGGGAAAGACCTCCGCCTGAGTCCCTGGCTGTGGCTCAGGGGAAGAGCCTCTGCTTGGCATGCAGAAGGTCCCCGGTTCAATCCCCGGCATCTCCAGTTAAAAGGACCAGGCAGGAGGTGATGGGAAAGACCTCCGCCTGAGTCCCTGGCTGTGGCTCAGGGGAAGAGCCTCTGCTTGGCATGCAGAAGGTCCCCGGTTCAATCCCCGGCATCTCCAGTTAAAAGGACCAGGCAGGAGGTGATGGGAAAGACCTCCGCCTGAGTCCCTGGCTGTGGCTCAGGGGAAGAGCCTCTGCTTGGCATGCAGAAGGTCCCCGGTTCAATCCCCGGCATCTCCAGTTAAAAGGACCAGGCAGGAGGTGATGGGAAAGACCTCCGCCTGAGTCCCTGGCTGTGGCTCAGGGGAAGAGCCTCTGCTTGGCATGCAGAAGGTCCCCGGTTCAATCCCCGGCATCTCCAGTTAAAAAGGACCAGGCAGCAGGCGATGGGAAAGACCCTGGAGAGTTAGTTGCTGCCGTCAACTGAGTTAGACCCTCAGACTGTAACAGGAAGCTGCCTTTGACTGAATCAGACCCTGGGTCCATCAAAGTCATATTGTCTACACTGACTGGCAGTGACTCTCCAGGGTGTTGCCGAAGGCTTTCATGGCCGGAGTTCATTAGTTGCTGTAGATTCTCCGGTTTGTGTGGCCATGGTCTTGGCACTGAAGAACGTGACGTTTCGCCAGTAGCTGGAGAAGATTGCGATTCCGGGAGGGTTTCTTAAGATACTAGACTTTAACTGCATGATTGTCTGATGAAGAGCTCCCCTGCCAACAGTGGCTTGGAGACAATCGGGCGAGCTGCTAGAGGAATCCAAGGTCCACACTGGGGTGTTCTGCTCAATGCAGAGAGGCTCCGCCAAGGTCTACCTCTCCTCACCAGTCAATGAAGGGATCGCCTGGCTTCAAGAGGGACCCGCTGTCACCGAAACGACATCGTTTTAATCTGCACAGCCCGTTGGCTCTCCAGCAGCCAATCAGAAACCCCGCTGGTAAAGTACTTCTCCTGGCCCCACCCAGCTTCTACAAACTCTTGGTTGTTTTTTTTTAAATAATGGAACTAAAAGCAGAGCGGCTGCTCCCTTACCTCCAAGATGGCGCACCTCTCCGACTTGCACGTGCTGTTGTCCTGACACGGCTGGAACATCCCGAGGGTGACGCAGTTCAGGAGGATGACCAGCATGCTGACGTGCTCGAACCAGGTGGGGACAAAGAGTTAAGGAAGCTCACCGAGACTCATGGATTCAGCGGGGGCAAAAGGAGAGAAGGCGTGCGGGAGGAGAGGGGGAGGGGGAGATGGGCATATCCCTGGGCAGAGAGCAACTAGGGGGCCCTACAACCACTACCAGGCCCCTTGGTTTGGTGTCGTGGTTAAGTGCACGGACTCTAATCTGGGAGAACCGGGTTTGATTCCCGACTCCTCCACTTGCAGCTGCTGGATGACCTTGGGCAAGCCATAGTTCTGATAAGAGCTGTCCTTGAAAAAGAGCCGTTTCTGTCAAGAGCTCTCTCAGCCTCGCCTCCCTCCCAGGGTGTCTGTTGTGGGGAGGGGAAGGGAAAGGAGTTTCTAAGCCGCTCTGAGACACCTTTGGGTAGTGAAGGGCGGGGAATAAATCCAATCTCCTCCTCCTCCTCCTCCCCAGTGGAGATGTAAAGCCACTTACAACAAACTCTTCTCCTTTTCATTCTTATCTGTAAATGGTTCTCCCTTCCAGCTTGGTGTGGTGGTTAGGAGCGTGGACTCTTATCTGGGAGAACCAGGTTCGATTCCCCCACTCCTCCACATGCAGCTGCTGGTGGCTTTGGGTCAGTGACAAGTTCTCTCAGAGCTGTCCTCTCAAGAGCGGTCCTCTCAAGAGCTCTCTCAGCCCCACCGACCTCACAGGGCGTCTGTTGTGGGGATGGGAAGGGAAAGGAGTTTATAAACTACTTTGAGACTTCTTTGGGTAGTGAAGGGGGGTATAAATCCAATCTCCTCCTCCTCCTTTTTATCTTGTCCACCCACTCAGGGCCCCCCACTGGCTTGCGCATCGTTCTCTGGCCCACGTGCAAGCTCTCCGACAACTTACTGCCCTCACACCAGGGGTTGTTTCATAGAAAAAGAGCTAGGGGAACTCATTAGCATAACTCATTAGCATATGCCACACCCCCTGACATCAGGGGCCCGGCGGTGGACCTGCAAGGCCGGCGGGAGTGCAAGGAAGCCCCGCCAAGGCCCTCCCTGGCCCCAGGCAGGCAGGGGTGGGGAGAGGCGGGGAGGAAGCAACTTACCCTCCCTCTTCTCCTGTCTCCTCCTGGCTGAATGAGGGCCGGAAGCGGGGCGGCCGGAAGCGGGGGGCGGGGATTCGTCGTGTGCCCCGCCACCCGCACCTCACCCGGGGGAACTGCGATCCCCCCCGAATCGACCTCTGCCTCACACCCTTCCCCCGATGGTGGTGGTGGGTGGGTGCAGCTAGGAGTACCAATGCCACGGCCACCAGGAATGCTGATGCTTTGGGCATCACCCGCGTGACCTTCTCCAGCAGTGCACGGCAGCATATACAGCTAGGATCACAGGTGACAAAGCAGGCAGAGAAAGGATGTGAGGGCGAGCATCAGAGGAGATGCAGGCATAGGGAGTCAGCAGCAGTGGATCCCACTAGGAGCCACGGGTGGTGGCAGTTGCTCCCCCCCCGTAGGGTATGCTGACACCATCCCCCACCAGAAATAGAAGAAAAAGAGACTGGATTCATACCTCGTCCTTCACTACCCAAAAGGAGTCTCAGAGCGGTTTACAATCTCCTTTCCCTTCCCAACCCTACGACAGACACCTTGATAGGTAGGTGGGGTTGAGAGAGCTCTCCAGAGAACTGCTCTTGAGAGAACAGCTCTGAAAGAACTTGTCACTGACCAAAGCTCCCTCAAAGCCGTGGAGTCTTGTGAGCCAAAATTCTACTTTGTGAGCCACCGGCATTAAAGTTGTGAGCGAGCCATTTGGCTGCTGCATTAATTAGTTTGCTCTGGAGCCATCCTTCCTGGGCAGAGACAAAAACATGTGAGCCGGAGGCTAAAAGATTGTGAGCTAACTCACACTAATTCAGCTTAGAGGGAACACTGTAACTGACCCAAGGTCGCCCCAGCTGCTGTATGTGGAGGAGCGGGGGAATCAATCCCGGTTCTCCCAGATTAGAGTCTGCGCTCCTAACCACAACACCAAACTGGCTCTCCAAACTAGCTACCATGCACAAAAGATTTGCCAGGAACTGACACTCCTAGAACTAGCAGTCCTGGCTTGGAGGGACCCCCTGCTCAGATGTTAACCAGTTTATAACACACACACCCCGGACGCTTCAAATCGAAACGCTAACCAAGGCAAGATCTTAGATTTTGCACCGAAGTAGAAACTCTCCGCATTTTACGGTTTCGTCCCACAAGCAGTCAACACAAGCCCCCCACCCCGAACATCGTGGCATTGTGAGCGGCCCCTGAGTGCCAGTAGAAACGAGGATGCCAAACATCCTAGCTGAGCTGACTCCCCAGAGCGTGGTCCATGGACCGAGCTGGGGCACTGGCTCAATGGGGCACCACAAAGCTGGAACCGACAGCCCTGCGGGGCAGGCCTCAATCTGCTCCTCCCAGGTAGGAATCGGAGGAAGGCATCATGTGGAGTCAGTGATCCTCGATGCTTAAAAAAGTCCAACAAATAAATAAATATTCCCCCCTCCCCCGAAACTTTAATTTCAAGACTGAGGCAGGGGAAAGGGGGGAGCGAGGCGAGGTTACGAATTTTGTGAATGATCCACTTCCCCATTGTTCAAATAGCAGAAAAGCGAGGGGAAGGGGGGAAAGAAGCCGACAATGTGAGCTACGTTGCTAAGTGCTCGAAACAGCGGGGAAGAAAATTAGGAAAAAACAACTTGGAGTGGAACTCCCGCGGGGCAGGCTGCATTAAATCTGGCAAGAGCAGCAAGTTAAGAAACAATTTTTTTTTTAAAAAAAGGAATCTGATGAATTAAATGCCACTTTGAGTAGCAACAACCGGAAGTGGGGGGGGGAGGCAGCAACGTGAGAGCATTTCAATAAAAACAAGACCTTGAGTTCAGCCGCTTGGGAAATGTACACAGGGAAACACAAGCCGCCCTCCAGTTTCCAGAAAGTTGCTTTCTCAAACACAACGGAAGAATATAAAAGAAGCCATGGTGGATCAGGCCGACGGCCCATCCAGTCCCACACTCTGTGTCACACAGGGACCAAAACCCAGGTGCCCTCAGGAGGTCCACCAGTGGGGCCAGAACTCCAGGAGCCCTAACACTGTGGCCCCCCAAGCACCAAGAAGACAGAGCATCACTGCCCCAGACATAAGAAGAAGAGAAGAGATTGGATTTATACCCCACCCTTCACTACCCAAAGGTGTCTCACAGGGGCTTACAAACTCCTTTCCCTTCCCTTCCCCACAACAGACACCCTGTGAGGCAGGTGGGGCTGAGAGAGCTCTGACAGAAATGGCTCTTTTTCAAGAACAGCTCTTATCAGAGCTACGGCTTGCCCAAGGTCATCCAGCCAGGTGCAAGTGGAGGAGTGGGGAATCAAACCCGGTTCTCCCAGATTAGCGTCTGCGCACTTAGCCACTACACCAAACAGAAGAACAGAAGAGGACCCATGTTGGATCAGGCCAATGGCCCATCCAGTCCAACACTCTGTGTCACACAGTGGCCAAAAACCAGGGGCCATCAGGAGGTCCTCCACTGGGGCCAGAACTCCAGAAGCCCTCCCACTGTTGCCCCTTAAGTCCCAAGGAGACAGAGCATCACTGCCCCAGACATAAGATCGTAAGAGAAGCCATGTTGGATCAGGCCAGTGGCCCATCCAGTCCAACCCTCTGTGCCACACGGTGGCCAAAGCCCAGGGGCCCTCAGGCGCTCCACCAGCGGGGCCAGAACCTCAGAACAGAAACAGAGTTAGGCCTCATGTGCATCAGAAGCCCTTCAGGAAACAACTTCCACTGTGTTCCGTCCAATCTCGTCTTCCGTGTCTGCACCCACAATTGGCCGTGCGTGAGGCCGATTGGCTGTCTCCCTGTGATGTCACCAAGACCTCCCCCCATATGCAGAAAATGTAGGAACAGCCCTCCTAGAAAGGGCCCCTTGTTTGCCCCGAGATATTGTCTCTGAGCATGGAAGCTAGATGACCATAGCAGGGATAGAAAAGAGCCAGAGTCCAGCAGCACCTTAAAGGTAAAGGTTCCCTTGCTCGAAAGCCAGTCGAGTCCGACTCTAGGGTTGCGGTGCTCATCTCCGTTTCCAAGCCAAAGAGCCAGCGCTGTCCGAAGACGTTTCCGTGGTCATGTGGCCGGCATGACTAAGCACCAAGGTGCACGGAATGCTGTTCCCTTCCCACCGAAGTGGTACCTATTTATCTACTGGCAATTTCTTGCTTCCGAACTGGTAGGTTGGCAGGAGCTGGAACTAGAGACGGGAGGCCACTCGGGTCTTGAACTGCCGAACTACCGACCTTCCGCAGCCTGCAGTTCAGCGTCTTAACCACTTGAGCCATCGCAGCACCTTAAAGACTAACAAAATTTGTGGCAGTGGGAGGAGCTTTTGTGAGTCACGGCTCGCTTCCTCAGATATCTGAAGAAGTGAACTCTTGCTCTTTTCTACTGCTGCAGACAGACTAACATGATTACCCATCTTGATCTATCTCCGTAGTATGGGTGCCAGCCTCCAGGTGGGGCCTGGGGATCCTCCAGAATTACAGGTCATCATCTACAGACTACACAGATCAGTCCCCCCTGGAGAAAATGGCTACTTCGGAGGGTGGGCTCTATGACTTTATTCCCCACTGAGGTCCCTTTCGTCCCTTCCTGCTCAGGCTCCACCCCCCAAAACTCCAGGTATTTCCCAACCCAGGGAAACTCTAATCTGGGAGCACCAGGTTTGATTCTCCACTCCTCCACTTGCAGCTGCTGGATGACCTTGGGTCAGTCACAAGTTCTTTCAGGGCTGCTGTTGGTATTTTTGGCCACTGTGTGACACAGAGTGTTGGACTGGATGGGCCATTGCCCTGATCCAACACTGGCTTCTCTTATGTTCTTATGAAAGAGCTCTCTCAGCCCCACCTTCCTCACAGGGTGTCTGTTGTGGGGAGGGGAGGAGAAGGAGAATGTAAGCCGCTCTGAGACTCCTTTGGGTAGTGAAGGGTGGGGTATAAATCCAATCTCTTC